GATCATGTACAGTGCCGATATAGTTATGTATGACCATATATGAACTTATATGATCAGATCTTGTGTCATGTATAATATACGATCTGATCATATATGGCAATAGATAACCATATATGATTATATATGCTTTATATATGGGCATGTAAAACTTATATCTGTTCATATCTTATTTATATATGAACATATATAAGTTTTACATGTTCATATATAAATATATACTGTCAGATATGAATATTTTTTCCCGGGCTGAATAATATGAATTGTTATCATTTTAAGTAGGTTAAAAAATATAGTAAACTATATGTAAACATGTGCTAAATGAAATTTACTTTTGTTCTCGTGCAAAGCGCGCCGGGGCATGACGCAGCCATGATTTGATTGGATCGTTTATATCCTTGTTGATTACAAGAATTTTCGTAAAACGACAGCGGACGACACCTATATATAAATTAAAACTAATTTAATTCATAATTTATATAATTGCTATTATAAATATAACGTGATAGATCAAAAATAAAATAGAAATAAAAAGTTACATAGTTAAACATTAGCATAAATTTGTTATGCTTATTTTGATATAATTTGACTTACTTGATATGACATCGTAAAGCTTTAACTTTTCAAATGCTTTTTTCTTGTGGGCTCCGTGGAAGCTATAATTCGAAGCTAATGCATTGCTCATTATTTCCTGCATTAGTTTTACTACAGTACTTTTTACGTCATTTTGTACAAAAATACCCAAGTCCTTAATCTACAAGAATATTAATGTTTTGTTATTCACTTTGTTATTTACTTTTCTTGTAGACGTAACTCATATTTATATAACTATACTCTTGATGGTTTACCTCTCTCAGCAGTGCGCAAGGCTCGAGATCTCGGGGTCTTGTTCAGTGCGGACTTATCATTTAATACACATATACAATCAATAGTTTCATCTGCTTATAGAACGCTTGGATTCATCCTCCGATGGGGTAGATTTTTTAAGAATATAACCACTTTAAAATTATTATACTGTACGTTACTTCGCCCCAAGTTGAAGTATTGTTCCATAGTTTGGTCTTCGTATTTTGAATGTCATCAGTTATTGATTGAACGTGTGCAGCACAAATTCCTGCGTATGGCTGCTTATCGGCTAGGTAATCCCATGTCAATTACTTGCCATGAATACTGCACTATATTAGATAGATTAAATCTGCTATCGTTAGAAAGTAGGAGACTAACCTTTGATCTTACATTTATTTTTAAGCTTCTTAATCACTCTATTGATTGTCCAGATTTGTTGGAACGTATCTATTTTAACATCCCGACTAGAGAATTAAGACAGTACTCCATCTTCCACCTCGAGTATCACCGTACTTGGTATAGCGCAAATTCGTGTGTAAATAGGCTAATAATATCTGCAAGTAATTTCTCCAATAGGGTTGACTTTTTTGGTGGCTCTGTATCAACTTTTAAACAAAAACTTTCTCGTCTACTCTTGTAACCTGAATTTCTCCATATTATGTTGTAAAATTTTTATTTTATCTTATTGTTCTCGTTTTTTCTTTTCTCTTTGTACGCTAAAGGGTTTATTACCCGTTAATAAAGTTTATTATTATTATTATTATTAAAAAAAATTATGAGGTGCACAGTTAATATAATTTAATTTTGAAAATCATCATAGTCATATAGAAGAGGTCAAGTCATCTAAAAATTATTAAAATAAAACTGTGATGCTATTGCTATGAGTACTTGAAACCTTATTTAAAAAACTAATCAAAGAAGACCGCAATAAGAAAACAATTTTAGAACTGAAATATTTTTTTGCAGTAGTCTAGTTTATCTGTGCAAAAATTATTTCATTTTTAACTTTTCATAAGATTCAAGTTGTACTGAAAAACCAAATTGACTTTATAATCAATCTTTTGTAAAATGGTTCTTTCGGATTTGAGTTGAATTTTCAATTTGAAGCTTTATGTACAGAAGATATACTTACTAAATTGTTTTTATAAAGTATGTCAGTTGATAAACGTCGTTCTTCTTTTATTAAATCAGCTTCCGATAATAAAGGATAAGCCTTCAAAATTTGACTTGTAGTTTTTTCAATATCTTTGTCCGTCGTTTCTGTTGTCATCAATTTTGTTATATTACGCATTTCAGCGATTAATGTATTTATTTTTAAATTAATGTTAGCCATTACTCGTAAAACTGTTCTGTTGCAATCTTCATCTATAAAAACAATAAAAATATAGTTTAAAAAAGATGATATAATTACGAATATTTTTTTTAGTAGATTTGTTTGTTTCTTACGATTTTGCGTCAAACTTGACTGTTGAGTTAGTGACAAATCGTTAGATTGCTCATTTATAGATGAAATTTGATTTTTTCTTATTTTTGTATGAGATTTTAATGTATTTCGATCAGATTTTTTGGTCTCACTATCATTACCGCTGGGGCCTACGTCGTCGCAGTTAATCGATGGAAAAGGGTCAATAACTGGAGATGACTTTTTAGTTGTTTTGTTTTTTTCAATATCAGAATCAGTATTAATATCTGACATTATTAAAGCCTGTGAACACTTTTTCTTTCCACGTTTAAAAGTTTCTAAAAAAAGAAAATAATAACGATAATTAAGGTTAATATTCATGAGTTTTTTACAAATGCATAGAATTTTGAAAAATATAAGAAATTATCGTACTCGTCGAAACCAATATTTTTTTGACGCTTTTGACAAACTCCAATTTTCGGCCGTATTTTCTTAATCCTCAACAGCCCTTAATGTTCTTGATTTACTTTTATACAGAGGCCAATAACAATGAGTTTTGCGAGGTGTCAACCATTTTTCAGGAGCAAGACTGACGCCATCCTCAAATTCAATAACCGCATATCTATCAGATGGCATCTTGATAAGAGCTTAAAATTTGATACATTCAGAATTAATTTTTAAAAATAAATATTTAGGTAAATGATGTGGTAAATAACTGTGTATACGGTAAATCACCTAATAGGGCAGTTAAAACTCCAATTTGCTATGCATTTCAATCTTCTACAGCTAACTCATATATTGTACATCCCATCCTTGTGCTTTTTTATAAGCAGTATGCAGTACTTGCATTTCGACAAGATCTTGTGATTCACGCCTACTGCCTCCTATTCATCACCTGCGTATTAACGAGTTGCCGGACACGCGTAACTAAGAAGCGTGACACTTCGTCTCATGAACGTCCGTATGTAAGAAGACGTCTTCCTACATATGGATGCTCGTGAAATAAAGTGCCATGCTTCTAGTTACATCCGTCAATTCAATAACGTGCAAGCAATGAATAGGAAGCAGTAGGTGTGAATCACTAGATCTGGCCGAAATGTGCAAGTAAATCTCAGCACTGGCTTATAAGTCTCGTTAAATCTTAATTATCAGAATGTAGAAATGGAAAAACGACAAATCCTGATTTGTGTGGGAGTTTTACACATTTGTTAACAATATCACTGAGTGGTCGTAAGGATAATCTTTCGCTGCGTGTATATTGAACTTTATATATATCCAGCAATGATGATGGGCATGGAATCTTGAAAAAATCTTCCTTGGAAGTGAGCTGTCAGCCTATTATCATAAATTCTTGGGTTTCACGACAAGAAGCTATATTTTGAATCTCAAATATGTCACCATTTTTCAGAATACAGCAATTATCAGCATTTTCAGTAGTTTTAATGGTAAAATTTGATGATTTTATAACTTTATACTGTGGATTAATGCAGTTCTCAGGCAGAGGACCTTTGACATGAAGAGAAATTGCAACAAGTTTTAAATCATCGTTTGTGCTTTTATTGTAATTTAAACATTTGTTTTTATTTCTTCATAGTGTCGAGCTACTTGCTGCAGTGGTTTCTCTGGTTTACGTATAATCTTTTTCAGTATTTGCATGAAATTCTCAAATTTAAATGCCCTAAACTTTTCTATAGATGCACTAAACTTCTCTATAGATCCATGTAATTTTGCATCTTCTACGAGGTGGATAATACCATGAACGTTGTGCGTTACATGATGCACGCTGTATATTTTAGCGAATGACTTGATAAAATGTTTAACAAGACTTTCTGCGTAGTTCAGTTTATTCGGATGCCGTTCCACGTCGCATAATATTCTGATTAAAACATGAAGCGTCATGAAGTGTTCGTACATCGCTTTTGGCAAGATCTTTCTTAAAACAATTGGTCCCGTATAAAGAAGAAATTGTCGAAATTCAGTAGCTTTCCACAGCTTCAAAAACTCTAAAGTTTGAGGTCTTTGACCAAATTCTTTTGAAATAAATGGTTTCATATCATTTTCAAGCCGTTTCGAGATTTTAAGAATTTGTAGACGGCCGAGTCTATACGTGTTCTCGCCGTGAATTCATAATGTTAACATTTTTTAACAACACCTAACAGTATTAGGTGCATGTAATCTAAAGTTACAATACATTAGATACCAATCCCAGTCCTGGTATAGAATCGAGAATCGTTCTCTTTTCGTGGTACTTCTTATCACGATAATCTAAAAAATCTTGATCCGTTCGTCTTTCGGCATTTAATTTGGGAAAACATCTGCGATTTTTTTTTGTCTTCTCTTTTGTTATATATTTTGTGCAACTATTAAATCCGGAAAACTTTTTTACGCATAAAATAAACGATTTTGCAGGAGCATCGCAAACGATAAATTGAATCGAAAATTTGTACAGTTTTTCTCCAATAATAATGCCATTTTTGCATAACTCAATAGCTTCTTGAACAAATTGGTCTAAATAAATGTTAGCATCTTGAGGTTTTTGGTGTCCGTAATATACTCCAATCATGAAAACTTCTTTATAGGGTATAATATTTCCCAAAATAGGCCAAAGCGCTGCCGTAGAAGAATTAAATAAGGGAACTCCATCAATATTTATAGCAATAGCTATTTCGTCAACAGTGAAATTTTTAATTCTATTACAAGAGTCCCGAATACTTGAAGCAAGCCCGAAATGGTGGTACTCTTCAGAAAAAACTTCTCAAATATTGGTTTGTTTTGCAGTCTGCAATAAAGTATGAGGGTCACATGGTAATACTGTGGATAAGCTTGGGACTGATTTTAATATAGTAAGCAATTTTTTCAAGCTGTTATGCGAAATTTTTTCAGTAACAGCCCATTCTCCCAGTTTTGCCTTAATATAATCCATATTTTGAGAACTGTCCACCAATGCTTTATCTATCACAGGGACTTCAACAATGGAAGTTACGTTTCGATCAATATCAATATTGTCGTCGCTGCTTGGATAAGTGTCTATTGAAAAAGAATTATTTCTAGCTTGCGTAGAAGTATAATCTTCATCCGACAAAGTTTTAGTATCAGACAAATTATTTGCATTTATTTCAATGCTTTCTGGTAATGAGTTGAAAGTTAAATTTTGCGTAAGAAACACTTGATGTATTTGCAAGTTCAATCGATGAATTAGTTGATTCAATCGATGAATTAGTAGGTTCAACGGATGCATTACTAAGTTTAGTGTATTTATCAATCGGTTCAGATTTATGTTCCCACTGTCGAACAATTTGAACGACACGCCGACGTCTTTGTCGGTCACGAATTTCAAAATTACTTTTCCGTTTACGTGATTCCATCTATAAAAAAATTTTTTTTTGCAAATGTAACAATTTAAGCCAAATTACACTGTCCGACAAAAAAAAGCATTTTTCTTTTTTAGGGATTGTAACATATTTTTAAATAAATTTGTTGAACGTGCTGAATCTAAATCTAGTGTAAAAATAGCTCAGCTCATCAAGATTTTGAAAAATTTTAGATTAAAAGTATAAAAAAACTACTATTTTTACCATCTTCAAGTAGCTGTATCTCGGTAACTTGACGTAATAAAAGGGTGTTTGACCGTTCAAATTAAGGATTAAACCTTTACGTTTTTAAAGATTAAGCACAAAGATAATATGCATAATTTATGAAAAAATGCATTTTTCTTTGCAGAAAAAAAATTGTCTCCAAATGATGTCAGGAATCTATCATTAATAGGTTTTTCACAAATTACATTGTATATTAATAGTATATGATACATCATTTGACATTCTATGTTAAATGAAATATAAAAATATACAAACATAATTTAAAAAATATCGATTTTTGAAATAATCTATAAACTTTGTCATATTCGAGTAAAATAAATCTTAAATATATTTTTAATAATTTTTCTTCTTGACATATATATACATAACTTTATAAAAAAATTAATATTTTGTTAATATTAATATTTAACATAGAATATTTCATTATTTCATATTTGACATAGAATATTTCATATATACATGGAGAAAATTTTATAGTAAAAATTACTATAATATATGTAGTTGCAAAGAACAACAAGATTATTTTTAAAGTAGTATGTAAAGCTGAAAAATTGTATAAATTAACGTAATTTTTACAGTTTTATAAAGCACTTTATTTTAAAAATAGTTCTCATGGTTCTCAATTACTGTACACTATAATAATTTTTATTATAAAATTTTCTCCGTGTAATAACATATATATTAACAAGAATCGTTTTTTTAAGTAGTTTAAAATTTTTGCAATTTTTATTAATTTTTTGTACATACGGTGTGCGTATTTAAAGAACATTTAGAGGATTTTTCAAAGATTTCATGTTGCCACATATGTATATCTTCGGAATAGTTTTTGAACATCTTTTGAATATGCATGCTGTATGAATTCTCATAAAAATAAATAATATATATATATATATATATATATATATATATATACATTTAAAAGCAAAATAATATATATACGCATAATAGAAAACAGTTGTACAAAAATCATAATACAGAGAAAAATATTCCAATAAATATTACTTGTTCCAAATATATCGTAAGTTTTTATATTCACAAGTATATCACAAATTCATAATACGCATCATAATTCAAATTTTAAGGCTATTGTCAAGATTATAATTTTTGTTAACCCTCCATTAGGCACAATCTACAAATAAGTAATTATTTTAATCCACATTACTAATACTTCCATTTTTTATTAATTTTAATATTTATTAATTTGTTTTTTACGGTTATGGAAGGTATTTTATTTACCCCAAAGGGGCCTTAAAGGGCGTTTTTGAGGAACGTTCCCAAACCTTTACAAACTTGGCGTTTTGTAGGGACGTACCCAACCCTGTACACACATCAAGATAACATATAACCTTACAATATATTGCCTCCCTACCCCTTCCAATGTCTCCTCCCCAATCCCTTCCCCCGGTCCGCTTCGTCCTCGTCGTCGTCCGATCCCATCAGCAATTTATCCTCCATTTTCTTCACAATATCCTCTTCTGTCAACTCCTCTTTTTTCTCGTTTTCCTCCTCTTTCCTTTTCCTTCTCATTTCCCTTTCCTTTCCTTCTTTTATTCTTTCCTCCACCGACTTGTCTTCGTCTATTTTTACTTTCATCCTACTTCCTTCCTTTCTTCTTGCTTCCAATATTCTCCATTTATCCTCCTCACTTCTCAGCTTTACCATAAATGTCAGCCAGTCCCCTCGCTGTCCTATCATAATCACCTCCTTCACCTCCACCTTCACTCTCAATCCTTCTGTGAATAATTGTTTCACCTTCTTCCAGTTTGCGTTGTTTCCTCCCCATCTATTCTTCTCAACTCTGATTATCACGTTCTTCCTTCTCTTCTCTTCCTCGTCTTCTTCCTTCTCTTCGTACCACCATTTTTTCCTGCTTACTTTTTCCTCTCTTTCCTTACTCTCGTCCTTCTTTCTTTTACCCGAAACTTGCTCCATTTTATATACTTTCCTTTTCAAGATTTCCACTTCTTCTCTCAGCTCTTTCATTTCCTCCTTAATGTTCTTCATCGTCCTCGTTGTTCTTCTTTTCATTACCTTCTCAATCGCCTCCACATCTATCTCCACCGTTCCTCTGATCTTCGTACTTCCTTCCATCTTTCTTTCCTTCTGCGGTATCTGAAATAAATTATCGAATATCTTATGATTATTTTCTCTGCTTATCGCCTATGTACTCTCCTGCATTCTTCTCCTTCTCTATTTCACCATACCCTTCACCCTTATAGCCAATCCTTACCTTTGAAACTATTCGCAATCACTTTTCTCTATATTATAGCCTTCTTTCTTTTGTCGTGCTTTTCGTTACGCAGCTCGCTTTTACAGTCGCCACGTGCGTTTCTTACCTGTTCCCCTTCTTACTTTCTATCCCTTCTATCGAACTCCCGTTCTTGCCACCTGTCCGTTGCACGCGTTGCGGCGACATCGGTCTGTTCTGCCGCCTTCTATCTCTTGCTTTGCCGTCCGTCCGTCGCACACGTTGCGGTGATACTGGTCTGTTTGCGACGCGCGCGTTGTGCATCCGCCTTACTTCCTTCTCGCCTCCTGTGCCATCTCCTTGCCTTTACCATCTCCTCCAGTCAGCCCTAACCTCTTTCTACGGGCTCTTTTTCTCCGACTGTTTTCTCTTACCCTGCTCCGCTTTTTTTCTCGCCTCCATTTCCTGCACCTCCTCTTTGCCTTCCTCACACCCTCCGCTACTCCTCCTCCATCATCCTCCTCCCTATTACACTCTTCCAGATACTCTTAACTTCCTTACTATAATCTACCTGTTCTCCCGCCGAGGGCTACGGGGGAACCCTCAATTTGTTTTTTACTGTTTTTACTTACTTTTATGTCAAGTCTAGCTAATAGCGTTGAAGAAAATTTATAATAATAAAATAAATTTATAATAATAAAAAAATATTGCTAACGAGAAAGGTTAAAAAAAACTATTATTTAAAAGAATTATTTAAAAGAATGATATTAAACTGAGTAATCACTTTTCTTGGCAATAGAGTAATTCTTTTCTGTGAATAGTGTAAAAATAAAAAATAGATTTCAATTTTTTCTTAATTATACATACCTCGATTCTTTGTATGACTAACAACGTCGCTAATATATTGATGAGCAGAGAGACACTTTTTATATTTCTCGTCTTTCTCGCTAATCGTCGATATTACGATATTAAACTAAGAAAATTCCAATATTTCACGCTTTTAGGTTATGCTCACACGTGACATGAAAATATTTCCTATAAAAGAATAAAATAATTAAGCAAATAAAGCAACTAGATTTTCGTTGGCCGTACGAAAATTAATTAATTTAGTGATTGTGACTGGCCCGTAAAGACGCATTTTTTTTCCATAATACCAAATCTCAATTCAATATGTCTGCTATGTGATAAAGAACAAACACGTGGCACAGAATATTTTCACGGTTTTCAATTATTAAATAGAGTTACGCATCTAATACACAAAAATATCTTTACATGTATGATATAATTGACAATTATATGTATTATTTAGGGTTACGTTCCAAAACGTATTCTCCAAGAAAACTTTATGCAATGCAAGTAACGTATATTACTGCGTAAAACTTTTTTCGTTGATTGTGGAACGTAAACTTGGTGAGAAAATACGTAGCAAAAAAATATATTTTTTTACAATGACTTACCTCAATTCAACGTGTAATAAGCTATTATAATAATAGCCGAGGTTTTTATTTTCCACTCTCCAAAAACAAATGCTAATGTAAGGCTCTTGTTTGAGCTTACTAGCTGCGAATCGCACCGGAAAGGTCGTAGGTAACGGAAACGGAAACGGCGAGGACGAAAGTATTGACGAACAGACCTCTCGTATGAGACAGGAGGCAAAGGATGGGAAAAGAAGAGATGGAACGGGCACAATGACCGCCAACGAAGTACTGTATCACTCGGTTTATTTGTAATGTAGTACAGCGGAACGCAACGACTACGGGATAGCGCACAGAAAAACGCGGCAAGACGGACGATCGGTTATACACGTCCGGTCTCGGAAACTTCTCGACGGAATCTCTCGAACAACGACCGCCGCCCGACGACCGCGCTTGAGGCTGACGCTCGCGCCGCTCCCAACCAATCAGGTTGCGCGAATAGTCGGTACTAGACATGTAGCCAATAGCCGACAGGCAATCGCCGCGCACGCCGCTACGACGGAAATTTCAGGTCAAACGAGAAAGGCGGGAAACACAAACTATTGCGTATCTTA